ATTTTGCATTTTGTCAATCTAATAAAATATATTGATATCTAACTCTAAATCAAAGAGCATCAAAACAAAATTTCGTAGAAATTATATTTCACGTACTTATTCAAAGTTTATACATATATTAATTAGATTTATTAGTGGTCATGAGCTTAGTCACAATATTTGTTGCTGTAGTTTATTAATATATGCACACCGTATTTTGACTACTAAACCTATATCATATGTCACATGTGAGGTAATAAATCTTAATTTGGTTTCCATATTTTTTTTACTTAAATATTAATTATGGTATAATATTCTTTGATATTATTTGTGAAACTATGAATATTATTCATCGGCAAGAAAATATTTTCGAAATTCGATTTCTTGTATAGAAGTAGGATTAATATTTTTTTCCCGCCCTTAATTATAAAAAGGGTGAAATCAAATCCTTTTGATAACAAAAGTATATACATAACATGTATTAACAAAACAATTATGGATTACACAATTGTTCCTTATAATCGGCATAAGATTTTGCATAATTGTTTTAGCCATTGTACTTTGGTACTGCTATTGTGGAGGCAACGCCAGCAAAAGCAGTGATAGCAGCAGCAGCAGTGATAGAGATTGCGAATGTCAAACAACTCGTCGTCGATCGTGATCACAAGTGAAAGAATTGAAGATTACGAAGTTTCGAGTCAATAAATAGCAAACATATTTATGTTATTCGTTTGTTAATTTTCTATATTTTTGAGTTCTTTTTTCTTTTTAGTTCGAATTGATGATTGTGAATATGTTTAGATTAATGGAATATGTTTAGTTTCTTTTGTTTTATTGATGAATAATGAAATAATGCCAATAATTTGTGTTTATTTATGTTTTTTCAAGTTTTCTATATTGTTTTTGACTGGTCACGTACAATACACGCGCGCGAGAATATTACTCCAAAACGGAAGACAAAAATCTCTCTCAATTTTTCCCAATTTTTCTTTGATTTTGAAGATGATGTTTCAACACGTGTCGCTTCCCAATAACACGCGCCAATCTTACATCGCGCACGTGTGATGCGTCTATGTCAGCAACTAAACGGTGTGTTAATATTAATAATAATGGTACCAAAAAGCGCTTGGATGAGATGGTTTGGGTTACTTTCAGCTTAACCAGAGGTCTCGATTCGAGCTTTAGGAATACAACAGTGTTAAAAACTCTTGAGGGAGAGCTTTGCCGCCCTTGTGGTCCTACCCGACTCGATTCCGAATTAGTCGGTTCCCCTGTGAATCCAGAAACCGGAAGGTCTCTATACCAAAAAAAAAATATTAATAATAATGGCGAAACAATATTTTCCCTTTATCCTCGGTCAAATTTGCATTTTTTTTGTTATTTTTGTCTATTTCATTTAATATTTTATTTGTTTCCAAACATTAAGATTATATATGATTGATTTTTTTTTTTTTAATTAGCTTTAGAGATAGGTATGTGTTCCAGTCTCATTTTTTCATGTTGCTTTAATTTTATTTACCTTGTGTATGTGTGTTTTTCCATTAAGTTGATCATTTTATACAATAAAATGTCATAATTTTTGTTTATATTGTACTTTATGGTATGATATTTAAATATAAAAATATTTTTATTGAAAAAATATGACTATCTAATCATTAGACAACTTAACAAAATACATGCAACAACACGAATGAAACTGGATGAATAGCACATATAAAAATATTACATAATTATGTATATATGTCTTTAGTTTATAGAATGAATAATCAAATGAATGACATATGTACGAAAATCGAGTCATCCGATAGTTCCATAACAAAATTGATTATAGATAATGATTGGGGTCCAAATAAGAGGGAAATATTAGTTTATGACTTAGAGATCTAAATATTTTGTCACACACAAGACTTTGACCTAATATGAGCTTTAGGTGGATTTAAAATCTAATATAAGTTTCTTTTTTAGATTCGGTAGATAGATCAATCCACGTTGAGTATGTTAGATCTTTGACCGGGTCCAACCAAATTTAGACTAGTTTCCTATTTTTTTTTTTTTTCAAATTAAATAATAATATTATAATAAATAACATAAACAAAATATTATATTTCTTATGTATATTAATAAAAAAGTAAATGTAATAGGTCTGTAAAAAGATTAGACTACCTTACATAGATTTTAAACCCGACTCGAAAATCGGCCCGAGCAAGTCTTCGGGTCAATCGACGGGTCGCCGAGACCCGGCCGACCCATAACTAGAATTGGTCCGGGTGAACTATTTTTTATGTATTTAATTTATTTTTCATCGATGCAGTAAATCATAATGGTCATATATGCCCACACAATTAAAGCAACACTAAATATGGTGGTGGACTCATTTAACAATTAGACCATTTGGCAAATAGAATTTGTGATTTAATTTATATTTCAACTAATTGTGACCGATAAACCGACAGAATTAAAGCGAGGCACAATTTTCACACCCCAAAAAATGAGACAAAAAAGTAAATAAAATTTGACTTGGAAGGAACAATGTTGGGACTTTAAGGAAACTAATAATGTTTTCTTCATAAAGTAATTAAATTGATGGCCAACATGTTTAACCAATTAGTAGTAATAATTATATGTTAGTATAAATTAAACATGATATATTTAAATTAGCAACTTAAAAGTTGTATATCTAATTATAATTTCAAACCAACTATCCTTTTTGAATTGTTAATATTTAATTATGCACATTAGATGTACAACTTATACATATATTATCAATAAATATACCTAATAATTTTTTTTATGATGCTATTATTCATTTCACAAGAGAAATCTAACACCCGCTATAAACTATTTATCAAACACTTTATATATTAACCTGCTAATCAATTTTGGTAACACAATCAACTATTAACTAACTAGTTATATAATCAGTTATTCGCTATCCTTCGTACACCAATAACTAAGCCGCGAACAAGACCTTCGTCTCGATGATTTTTATTATTTTGCCGGCATACGATTACGATCTAAAAGAACATGCAATAAGCATGCATGCAAAAGTTCATATTATAAGTGGAAAAAACGAGTTTTAAATACTTGCTTTGAAAAGTGAAAAATGTGTCAAACCTTTTTTTATATTGTATGGATTTGTAATTAATATTTTCTAATGTATGTTTCATCAAATATTTTTTCTAAAGTTTTGATTGGACAATTGTTTTGATAATTACACTAATTTTTTTTTATCTCTCTCTCTTTTATTTTTTATTTATTTTTTATTTATTTTTTATTTTTTCGTTTTAAACGACAATATAGGGCCCATTTGGTTTGGTTTATGTAGTTTATAGTGTTGATGTGATATGCATGCAGCATTCGCATTAATTCCATTTATTTCCCTTTGCCAATAGTATTTATAGCCCAAACATTTGGGCCTTCTTGTAGAAAGCCCAGTTATATGAAAATGAGGCCCATATAGTTTATTAATATTGGGCTAATTAGTTTTATCTTTTCCTAGCTATGTTTGTTTATGAGATTTTTGCCCCCAAAAATCCCAGCCCAATTTTTGCCTACCAAATGGGCCTGAAAAAATGGAATGACTGTCAGCAAAGGTATGAAAAGGCTGACAGTCGTTCCATTTTTTCAAGCCCATTTGGTAGGCAAAAATTGGGCTGGGATTTTTGATCCTTTGTTAGTTGAATGATGCCCCCCTCTACTCAAATCTATGTACCAATTGAGTCAGTAATATTTTCCTATTCACGGTGGACACGTGTTAATATGCCCATCACTTATATGGCATGCACACATTGGTGATGTTAATATGTTCAAATAAATACATCACCAATGTGTGCATGTCACATAACCAGTGGACATATTAACATGTGCCCACCGTGGGTAATTACTGCCAATATCCTCACCAATAATGAGCTTTCAAAATCGTATGTTAAACTTGTTTTTTTATCTGTTGTTCTAACATTGAGTAAGCTTTATCAACATTAGAGTTTTAGACAATGTTTCCATCAAAAGGATTTGTGAGCTAACATGCTCATATACATCATGCAACCCCATGAAAAACTGCAGCAACTTGGTTTGATTATAATTTTCAGCCACATTCTTTCCAATTGGACAACCACATACAAAGAAGATATTGGATTATGATATTGATCCCATAACCTTTTGATCCGATAATAATACTCAACAATACTACTATGATCTTGATTAATGCTCGTGATTTCCTTTTGCAACTTATAAAGAAGCCGTTCGTTCATTACTCTGGCCATACCTTCCGGCTATATTTATTTTCCAAAAGTTCTCTCGCATTTTTCACATAAACAAAACTCTCTACTGCATCCTTAAAAAAAAGGGTTCAGAATCCACGAAATAATAATAATATGAATCCAAACATCAATTTATCACAAAGAGCAATCGTCGTCGATTTGCGCCATGAAATATAGTTCGTACCAGTTATGAGATGTGAAATCGAAATAATAACAATATTGCATGTCGGAGCTTTGGACTTGAATCGCCTCAATCTGAGGATTCGATTGAGAGGACTTGGATCTGTCGTCTGCAACATTCAGTAGCAACCAAGTCGTCGCATTCTAAGCGTCCGCCATTTACTGTGCTAACTAAGCTCATTGTAATTTACCTTCGAGACAATATAAATTTTTTTATGTAATCTTATATAATTGAGCTCATTGTAATTTACCTCCAACTCGTTGAATTTCAAATAGATAATATAACTAAATGAATATGTTACAGTCTCGTTACGGAACCAGTATGTCGGAATTTGTAACCGAAATAGTACGTAAGCTAGTAGTGCAGTCCAACACGAATTGGGGGTGGTTTCATTTTCTACATTCTCCTTTATTTTTTTTTTTTTTCTTTTCTTTTCGTTT